CCATTTCCTCTAAGCAACTTGACTAAAATTTAGTCTCTGAAACAGAAATCTTTGGGGCTCAGAAGTGCTGGGGACCTGCCCCTAGAGGCAGTATATCATAGCCTTTGCCTGGGAGGTGTGGGGAGAGAGCCCCCTCTTTATGTCTACACATACCCAGAACGAAGCTTCTGTCAGTCTACACTGGGGGTTGAGGGGTGAGAGCAGCTTGTGCTTCAAGTGCCACAGAATCGTCTCACTGAGATTTATTACATTTTCTTGAATAAATATTTCTTCACTTGCCCGTATGTCCTTAGGACAATTTCCAGAGACTTTAAGTGACTGTTGTTTTTATAATTTCCACCCATAGTTATGGTTGTTTCACTGGGGATTAAATCTGCAGAACTCCTTACTGCTGCCATTCTGCATATGCAATATTTTTATATCAAAGTTTTACATAATTCATTTCCAGATAAATTTATAAGTGTTGTTCTACCACACTCGCAAACACAACAGAGCCACATTCTTGCCTTGGAGGCAGATGGGGTGGGGAAAAAGAAATTAGTGTTCAGGTATCTTCAAACAACACAAGTCACTTGAGGGTAGCAGATGCAGCAAGACCCACCCCCTGACAAACAGTATAAACTGCAGATGTAGGCCTTCTTTACATAACTACCAATAGGAAGCTGGGTGAAACTGTGCTTCATTAATATCTGCTCTATGGGTCAAACACATTCCCCAAGAAGTTTGTTATCTTTTAGTATATTAGTAGGGGAAATAATCTATATTAATGGGGAGAACATGGTGCCCAACTTCTCAAACATTCCGCTAAATCTCTAAGTAATTCTACTCTAAATCTCTTATTATTATTTCAATTTTAACTTGACTCTATTATTCAGCTTGGATCATAATTAAATGTCATCAATAAGGAAATAATAGTAGTAAAAATAATAATAGCTAAACTACTCACTACAACTCTTAAGCTGCAATAAAATCACAGGAAAGATCACAGTTGAGAAAGATGGCACCTCGATACCCTCATCTCTCTGCTAAATTTTCCCAAAGCAAATTATGAGAGCAAAGATCTATTTCCCCTAAAATGATAACAATTTATGGCTTCACAGCAAGCTCTTCAATGCTTAATAGTACTCCACACTTCATGGGTACTCATTATACATTTTTTGAATAAATGAATGAATAAATGAATGAATGGTTACTGAGTAAAACCTGCTTCACTACTAGAAAGAGAAAGAAATGGCATCCACATCTTAAAAATGTAAAGGAATTTTTTTCTTGCTACAACACAGACGAAACTGAAATGAATAAAGAACAGACTTGGAAGAAGCCTTTTTTGTGTGAAGCAGGAGCCTGACTGAGTAGTATATAGAAGAATCCTGGATAGATTCTACTTGTACTCTAAGCTGACTGAGGTGAGAAGTACTAGTGTAGGGTACATGGGAGTAATCTCCAGATTTCACCAGTACCTCCAAGAACAACTGCAACACAGGCGAAAGTGCAATGAGCAACGAACGGTACATTCTCCCAGCTGTTTCATAACAACTGGGCCCTCCAATACCACACATCATGGCCTCGACTGGCCTTCCATCTCAGCAACCATGCAGATGAGGTTTGTGGGCACGACTTCAGCTACCTGGAAAAAGTTCTGGGATGGCACTGGAATTTCTTTCTACAACTAGCTCCAAATCCAGACTTGACTTTTTCTTCAAACTTCTCCAACTTTAGGTTGTAGAATATCATTATAGCTTACTATAACATGGTGAGGATATACACACACAAAAAAATTCCTTAGAATGTGACTGTATTTAGAGATAAGCTTGATTTTCTTTTTTAGGAATGCATTCTAAAGTATGACATAATAACTGGGATTTACTTCAAACTATTTCGGCAAAGACGAACCAACAGAGACAAAACAGATAATGTATATATGACAAAATATGTCATGCTAACTTGTAGAATCTGGGTGACAGAAGTTCATTGTACTAGTCTCTCTACTGTTGCATAGGTTTCAAAATCCTCATTAGAAAATGTTTTCTGTTAGAGGAACGAGCCTCACCTGATTATCCATATCTTTGATGACCAATAGAACAGGACTGTCTAATGATGCTGATTTCCGATAGAGAGTTTTCAAGCTGGTCCCGTGCTCCAATGTGCTATAGGCAAGTCTCCATGGATATCCTTGTACCCTTGCCGGAAGGCATCGGGCCAGCTGCAAATCCAAAGATGGAGATGTAAGCATACAGTTCGCCCACAAGTCACTTATGAATTTGTAGCACAAATCAAGTGCCTGTGGCTCAAACTAAAAAATCACACTGAGTTATATACTGCTCCCCTTAACTCTAGCAAATATTTGCCACCATAAACCAAGAAAGAGATGAGAAATCAGTGGTGGTGTTTAGCATGGAAGGGATGCTGCCCAAGCATGCTTTTCCCCTCAGGGGTCTGACTGTAGGTCACTATGCCCCTAGACATTTGAAGATATAGCACCTAGCTTGATAAAGAAGTATGAATTAGGCATATGCTCTTCCTTTTACACTTCAACTTGGCCAAACAGCTCATGGTTCTCCAATTGTTCTTGCTAACTCTCACAGGCTCAGAGATGCCACTGACAGCTGCAGCTTTCCACACAAGTGGGAACAAGAAAACATGGTGTTTTATGTTAGTAGTCTGACATAGTCTGTCCTCATCGCACCTATTTTTTTCACCTATATTAACAGTTAGCTTAAACTTGACTGCCATAAAGACCGATAATGCATATCTCTTAAAAAAACAAAAACAAAAGAGGCTATGAAGTGCTGAAGTCTTCAGAATGCTTGACATCAGTTTTAATATCTGAATAAACCCCATCTCTGTAACTGCGTGGTCAAATCTCTTGGCTGTCCTGGGCCTTCACAGACTCACTTGTAAATTGAGGGATTTGAACCAGATTTGTTAAGGTCTCTGAAATTCAGGTTTCTAAGATGATAGGGAAGTGGAAGATATTTCTTACAAAAGGTCAAATGCAAGCACATTATAGGATTTCATAAAACGGAAGTAACGGATTTCCAGAAAATTTAAAGTTGCAAAGCAAATTACAGAAAATTCTTCCTAGTGGTAGGTAGTCTTCATAAAGTAAGTAAAGTGTATCTGCTATATGACTTTTATTGAGCCTGATAAATTAAAACCACTGGAATTTAGCAATAATCACTAGGATAAATTTGGATCTTTATAAAGCATATTAGGACTGTGGTGGACATGTTAAAAATTGTTTTGAAAACAAACAAACAAAAAAAGGCTTTTCATTCAGGTTTGGGAGACAGATGTAGTATCTGGCCAAATCCTCACACCTCCAAGGAGGCGGCAGGCAATGCTGCCATAACCTTTAGGGAAGAGAGAAAGTGTCTATGGCCTTGGTTAGGCTGCTGGTGATCTTCTTTTAAAACCTGGCTCGTCTTTCACCGCAAATGAGAAGAGCAAATGCAGTCAGGGTTGGGAAGTGCTTTTAAGAGCTAGAAGACATCCCACTCTAAGTCCCCAAGGAGGACCACCTGCTCGATGTGCATGTTCTCCAGGAGCGCACTGTGGGGCTGCAGAATAGGCAGGGCTGCCTCATCATCGTCTTCGTAGTAGCTGCAAGTGCTCTTCCGCCGCTGCCTCCTCG